TGCTACAAATATGTTGTTTCTCTTAAGCATAAAGAGAGAATGGTATGCACCTGTCTGCTTGAAACCGATCTTTAATAATGAAGCGTGAACTTTTGGTACCAATTCCTTGAGGCTTGCTTGAGTTCGTAAAGTGACTTTCTCGATTTACATACTCTAGTATCTTCTTTTCTTCCAAAACCTTGTGGTATCTTCATGTACACATCCTCATTTAAATCACCATGTAAAAAGGCGTTATTAACGTCTAACTGATGCATGTACCATTCTTTCTTAATGGCAACAGCAAGCAGACTTTTAACGGTCACGAGTTTGGCTACCGGTGTAAATGTATCATGGAAATCAACACCTTCCAATTGCATAAAACCCTTCGCTACAAGTCGAGCCTTGTATCTCTCGATATCTCCATTTGGTTTGTACTTTATTTTGTACACCCATTTGGAGTCGATGGCTTTCTTTCCATCCGACAAATTCTCGAGCGTCCATGTTCCATTTTCTTCGAAAGCCCGAATCTCTTTTCTCATGGCATCTCTCCATTTTTCGTTCTGCATAGCCTGATTAAAATGTTTTGGCTCATTGTTTGAATCAATGGCCGACAAAAAATCTTTATGCGTGTCAGAAAAATTTTCATAAACAACAAAGTTGGCTAAGGGATGTATCGTCGAAGGCGTTTGATCTGCAGTAGGTTGATCAGGGTCTATTGTTGGGGGAAGATTTACAACATAGTCGTTTAGAAGCTTTGATCGAACTCTAGTTTTTTTCTCTCTTATAGGTTCGTTATTGTTCACTTCAACCTGGTCATCTTCACTGATGACACTTGCTTGTTCCTCACCGTCAACCTGATTCTCCTTTTGAAAATTATTACCCAGGTTCCTGGTTGAGTTTTAGTCTTCTTGAGTGTCATGTTGCTCAGCACTTGATTCTGGTCCAGGTTCGGTAGTCCTTGGGCTGCCTATCTCGTCCCATGCATTCGAAAAAGTGAAAACTTCTTCCTCATCCTTTTCATGACCGAGAGTAGCAAAAGGGAAGTTTTCTTCAACGAACTTCACATCTCTGGAATATAATGATTTATAATGATTTTGTTGTGTTCAGCATCATAGATCTTATATCCTTTCGTTCCTCATGGGTAACCCATGAAAACACCCGGTCTCCCCCGTATTCCAAACTTATCTTCTTTCGCCTTTGTACTTCTGTAATTCTCAAGACACCCAAACACCCTCATTGAGTCATAATCTGGTTGTTGATTGTATATGACTTCAAAAGGAGTTCTATTCTCTATCACATCTGATGACAGACGGTTAATGATATAAGTCGCCGTAAGGATACACTCTCCCCAAAACCTGATAGGTAAACTTGCCTCGAACCTTAAAGCACGTGCCGTTTCCAACAAATGCCTGTGTTTACGTTCCACAACCCCATTTTGTTGTGGGGGTGTGCGGATACGTAGTCTCTAACACTATTCCTTCCTTAGTGTAAAAATCGACCATGTTGTTCTAAATGAATTCTCCTCCATTGTCGCACCTCATTCTTTTTATGTTCTTCCCAAATTGAGTACTAACCATTTTGTGGAACCCAATGAGACATCATACTTATGCTTCAATAGAAAAACCCAAACTGCCCTACTAAAGTCATCAACAATGGTTAGAAAGTAACGTGCTTGTGTAAAAAAAGGCATACGATATTTACCCCAAACATCACAATGAATTAACTCAAAACAAGAATTCGTCTTTGTAACACTAATATGAAATGGCAATCTGGCGTGTTTTGCCTTTAAATAGGAATCACAAAAACTGTCTCTAGACCTCAAGGAAACATTTTTGAAAAAAACCGACACTTGAAAGCTTTGAAGTAGATGTGTGACCATGTCTTTTATGCTAAGTGTTGATGGTGGTCGTCAAGGCTTGTCTCTCGGCTCCCATCATCCCCATCTTGTATAGACCCCAGTCACATTTACCCGCTCCAATCAAGGCCTTCGAAAGCAAGTCCTGTATGACAAAAAAAATCGGGGAAAAAGGTTACGACACATTTGAGATCCTTAGATAATTTGCTAACAGAAAGCGAATTGCATTTAAATTCTGGAACGTGTAAAATCCCTTTGATAGTCGTTCCATTTGGTAAGACACATTCTCCTCGTCCTTCCACGTCTATCAACTCACCATTCGGTATGGTCACAAGCATCTCATGATTCTCATTTGTTTTATTTTTAGGGTTTAGGGTCTTTGTAAGTTATGTGCTCGGTAGCACCCGAGTCAACAATCCACTTACTTTCACGTCCGGTATTTCCTATCATGTTTGCAAAGGGCAGCGCCTCTTCTTTGTTCCCTAAGAAGTTTAAAAACTGTTGGTATTGTTCGTTTGTGAGGTTTGGCACCCTATCTTGTTCTCCTCCAACAAAGGCAGCTCTCGGCTTGGGCTTGTCTTGCTTCCCTTTTCCCGGCCACCAATCTGGATAGCCAATTCGCTTGAAACATCCTTCTCTATTGTGGCCGTCCTTCCCACAGAAATTGCAATGTTCATCTGGCTCGCCCATTCCTCGTTTGCTGCCTTTTACTACAGTCCTGGTTTGCTGATTTGAGCCACGTTTTCCCGAAACATATGATGGGAAAATCGCAGGTTCGATGGCAGGTTTCTTAGCACTGGATATAGCCCTTTGTTGCTCGTCCTCAGCAACCAGATGGTATGTAGTACCTAAGGACGGCGTCGGTTTCATGGCCAGTATTTGAAGATAGAAAACTGCTCTGATACCACTTGTTGGTCCCTTGAGGGTCTACAAGATAAGTAAAACAATTTGTAGAAGGGGGGATGAATACAAACACAATATTTTCAAATTTAAAATGTATATTGATAAAGAAGATCAATACAAATTTTACAAGACTGTTTGCGGAAAGATAAGGTAAGAAAACCTATCTAAACAATCTTTGGTTACATACGAAATCTTAGCAAATGAGAAAAGAAATGTTGTAAAGAAAAGTTTTTTTACTTAAGCTAGAGAATGCTCAAAGTAAGAATTAGGTTATGAGAGTGAGTTGTGCGCACTCTGCATGGAGAAGAAACACTTCTATTTATACTCAATGCATTAAATGTTCATTTAATGCAATATGGTAGGGTTAGAGTGTGTGTCAAGCCTTAAGAGGAAGGTTTGTCCTTTGCTACAGTGAATAGTACAAAAAAGACTATTCATGAGCAGACATCCTTACCTAAAGTTAGTGGACAATAGAGTCAACTAGTCGGCTCCGTACCGTACCAACATTTAGAAAGGGTATGGGTTTGTCCTTTGTGTGCATAAGGACAAGAAAACAACATTCGTGTTTGGCAAGCTTCCTTTGATCGATGAATGATGGAATAACCTGGAGGTCTCTTCAGTATTCGCTGAGGCTTGAGCAGTCTTCACACATATGTAGACAGGCTTGTAATCATTGAGTACCGCTTCAGATTACGTACTTGCCAGTCTCTAATCTTCAGTTTCAGTACTTTGGCTGAAGGTTCTTTGGTGTGAGTGTTGTCTTCTTGAAGTATCGATGTCTATGATTGAATTACAATACAAGTTCTTCAGCGATCACTAAACACAGGCTCAGTGATGATCGCTGGAACTGATAATACAGAAACATAATTACAACGTATAAGTGAAAAGGGATTATCATCAAATCACTGAGAGAGATGATCAACAAACTCCCTTCCTTACTAATCTCGTGACCTGCATCGTTGAAACCATCTAATTTGCCTCTATGTATGTGTGTGAACACCTACAACACCTCATCTTCCTTACACACACTCATCGGAAATCTCCATATCTATATGTGTGTCATAAATATTGTGGTTGTGTGTGTATACAGTATATGTGCATGTAGAACCACCAACATTGATATCATTCTGTTGTATTAAGATGAAAAATAAAGACGACGGTTAAACACACAAAGAACTTGGATTTGCTTTTTTTCTATTTAATTGTTGTATTTTTGGAGTTTTTAGGTTTGCTCTAATGGTGTATACGTGTGTGTTTGTGTGAAACATGAAAGGAAGTCACCGACTCATTTCGGTTTTAATTTGTTGACAGGTTTAAAAACACCTAGATCTTGTGTGTGAATGTGTGTG